CTTGGGTTGAAGGACCTTGTTGAGGAGGATGTTGAAAGTGTTGTATGAAGGTGAATTGGAATGAGGCTAAGTTGTCAGCTTGTGTTTGAATCATGTCGTGCAAGGTTGAATACCTTTGAGCTTGGACAACCGAGTAAGAAGTAAAGGTTTCACTTTGGACCTTGATGATATTGTAGAGGTTAGAGATTCGTTCATTTTGGAGAGAAGCATATTCATGTTGCTGGATCTGCATCCTTTCCAATTGAGCTAACACATTAGAGTTGTCGCTTTGAGCAGCAGGAGTATCCTCATCCATATCTTCAGCATTTTCATCACTTTCTTCTTCTTCACTCCCAATATCAATTTCCTCGTCCTCTTCACCATTACTATTCTGGAATTGCACACGATTAATTCTTACGATGTGTCTGTATCTTTTCCTTTGGGAATCCCATAGAAAACCCATTAAGGTGAGTGATTTGCTGGAGAATTATTGGTCCATACCCAAACTCATGTAAGAGATACCGGGCACACGAATACTTTCTCTGTTGAGAACTTGTTGGATAAATGATGGGTAGCATACCACAGTCCCTCTCTCAGACTTGTGTAGATCGAAGATCCTGCTAGCAAAGTAGTATGGCCAATGAATCTTGATCTTGTTCTTGAGCACATACATGAGCTGAACCTCTGGCTTGTCCATGCGAGAGTACCCATGCTCTTTGGTTCGAATGATGTGGAAAACGATCCAAAATAAAATCCTATCAAGAGGAGCTAGGGCATCCGTGGTCACGGACTTGGGAAATAGATCATTGTTCATAATCCACTAAGTGTAGGGTTTCTTGAGCATATAGTTCAAAGCAGTCAGAGATTCCGAAGGAGCATTGGAGGAACTACCTTTCAGGATTCTCTTCTTTGCAAACCTAGATGTGGCTATGATGAAGTTTTCTTGAAGAGTTTAGAGTATAGGGAATTTCGTTTTTTGTTTAGAGGAGTTTAGGGTTTATGGAGTTTGGAAGAAATAAGGATAATTGAATTAATACAAACCATACAACATACAAATAAAATTCTGAAAATTCGCAAGATGCATCGACCAAACCAGGTTGTGCATCAACGTAATGTTAAAAAAAACTGATACTGAAGAGTTTATATAAGAATGTGTCGACGCAATCTTGTTGTGGGTCGACTCATTCTGCGAGATTTTGAGATTTACTACATTTTTGAAGGAAAGTCATGTAATATGGAAAGTAACAATAAATCACACATGCATATCAACAGTATAATGAATGTAGAGCAAGAAGATTACCTAAATAAGCACATATATATGATCAAGAAGGGGAAATAAATAGGATGGATATTACCTTCATGAAGATTGATGAGAGATTTCACTAAAACTATCAATAAGTACATCAAACATTAAGGAAATATATGCAATAAAATAAGGAGCATGCAACTTAATTAAGTTGCAACCTATCAGAGATATCGAGAACACCAAGTTCCCCACGGATGTGAAAGAAGGACTCTGTAGTGAGTCGTTTAGTAAAAATGACGGCAAGTTGATTTTTGCTATCAACATGCTCGAAAATGACATCACCCTTTTCCACATGATCCCTTAGGAAATGATGCCTAATCTCAATATTTTTTGTGCGAGAGTGCAAAATCGGATTTTTAGTTAGGTTGATGGCACTTGTATTGTCAAAAAAAAATAGGAATGCCTAATCCCTTTGAAAATAACCAACAAATTGTCTGATCTCAAAGACAGTCACAACTCCAAGTGCTTGTTGGGTAAAAAAAAGCAATAGAAAATAGTCTAGAAAGGGTGAATAAACTTTTAAAAAAATAAAATCAACCAAGTTTTCAAATAAGAATAATTAAAAGTTTTTCAGAGTTTGCGCGTGGAAGTTTGTAGAGCAAAAATGGGAAATTATACTAAATATACAATTATTCAGTAGCAAATCAAATTACTTTACAAATATCGTAATATCTAGATGAATAAATACAACTTATACAATTGAATTAATTGAATACCACGAGATGTGGTTACACAATCAATCAACAAGGCGATTTCTAAAAGCATGATGTTTTTAAGATTTTAAGCACCCCTAAAGCCCTTAATAGGTTTCAAATTCCAACAAACCTAAACTTAACAGTTAATTCGCTATTATCAAAATATAAGTCTAAACATGATGTACTACGAAATTCAAATTCATGAGTAAGAGATAGAGAGATGACACCGAAATTTATAGTGGTTCGACTTTGTCGCTCTCGCGTGAGTCTACGTCCATTTTAATAGTTGTTCTTTTATTTTGGCAAATATCTTGAGCGTATATACAATCACTAATCCATGATAATGCTGAAGAAAAATAATAAATAAAATCGTCGATATGGATCTTGACTTGTCGAGAGCAAAAGATAAGGAAGAAGTTCAGTTTGCTCATGCTGGAAAAAGTGACTTTGATGATGTCCTGCTAATGGCCAGAGATGAATTTACAAAACACGTGTGGATTTATATGATTGAAAGAGAGAGTGGTGTATTCGCATAGTTCAAGAGATTTAAATTGCATGTTAAAAAATTAAGTGAATGCAATATTAAGAAATTGAGAACTGATGGTGGAGGTGAATACACCTTTATGGAATTTGTGAAATTCTGTAATGATGAAGACATGGAGCATGAGATCATTTCACCTTATACACCACAACACAATGGAATAGCTGAAATGAAGAATAGAAGTTATATTGAACATGGCAAGGAGTAATGAAAGTTAAGGGTATTGCCAAAGAGATTTTAGGGTGAAGCGGTTTCAACAATAATGTACATTCTTAACTGGTGTTCAACCAAGGAAATATTGCACAAGACACCTTATGAGGTCTGGACAGGGTTCAAGTCAAATGTTGGTCAATTCAAGGTATTTGGATCAATGTGTTTCAGGCATGTACCTGAATAATTGAGAAGAAACCTAGATGATAGAAGTCGAGCTATGGTCCTTATAGATTATCATTCAACTGGTACTTACAAGTTGTATTCACAAAATGAGGTTAAACGTGTGATCAGTGGAGATGTTCAAGTAGATGAGAGCAAGTGTTTCACAAAATGAGGTTAAACGTGTGATCAGTAGAGATGTTCAAGTAGATGAGAGCAAGTGTTGGAATTGGACTCAAAAATCAGTTCAAAATGAGCAAGATACAATAAAAAACGTGCTTGAAGATTATCAACAAAAAGAAGAGATATATGGTTAAGGTGGAGGATCATTTGAACAAAAAGTTAGAAAGTCTACTAGAACAAAAATTGAATCACTAAGACTAACTATTTATGAAAGATTTGCATACCAAACAATTGATGCAAAAAGTGATCTGATAGAAGAGAAGATAATGGTTGAGTCATAGCCAATTGATTGGAATTAAGTAGCGAATGATTCAAATTAATTGGCAATTATGCGAGAAGAGCTTGGAGCAATTGAAAGAAACAAGATCCGGGAGCTCGTGGATAGATCAAACAAGAAGTCAATTGATGTGAAGTGGGCCTATAAGTTAAAACTTAGACCAAATGATGTGATTTCTAAGTACAAAATAAGACTAGTGGCAAAAGACTTCCTGCAAAAACCTTATATTGACTTCAATGAGGTTTATGCACTAATTACAAGATTGGAGACCATCAGAATTGTTGTGGCTACTACGACATACATACAATATCAACATTTCTAAACGGACCAATGAAAAAAGAGATTTATGTTAGCCAACCACCAAATCTTAAAATCAAATGGGAGGAATTGAAAGTGTTCAGATTGAAGAAAACTTTGTATGGCTTAAAACAAGCTCGAATAGCTTGGAAATGACTTACTGATCAAGGCATGATTCACAAATGCATTTCATAACATAGAGTGTGTGCCAACGGTGCAAAGAGGCTCAGTCAAATCATTTTATATCTTTATGTGAATGATTTGCTAATTACATGATCAGATGAAAATGAGATCATGAAGTGCGAGGTTGAATTCATGCCAAAATTTGAGATGTCTAATTAGGATATTTGTCGTATTTTCTAAGGATAGAGTTCAAAGACACAAGCATAAGAGTATGCACCCAAAAAAGTATGCTCTCAAGACATCTTGAAGAGGCTCAAAATGAACAAGAAATATGCTCTCAAGACATCTTGAAGAGGTTCAAGATGAGCAACTACAATGCAACAGTCACATCATTGGAGTCATGAGCAAAATTGAAAAAAATACAAACAACGAACTTGTAAATGCAACATTGTACAACAATGTGGTATACATGAGTTTGCGCTGATTTTTAGGATAGGATATTTAAAATATAAAAAAAAACCTTTAACTAATGAGCTAATATACTTCCTCTGGTCACTATTATATATATATGAACTAGATATTAATTACATAATGAGCTTGAGTATCAATTCATTCACGTTTTCTATGAAAGGCTGGAATTATGTCATTTGCTTCACCACCATACACGTCTAGAATAACTACAAAATCAAACTTCATAAGGCCTACATCAGTCCTTGCTTTTCATTTGGAGAATCAAATAGCAGGAGTGTTCTGCAAACTATATTGGTAGAACACAAGAAGCTGAAGTAGACACTGCCTTTTTTTCCATATTTTTTCATACAATTCTTGAACAGGACAAATCTTTCACTCATACCTGAGCAGCTTTTGTTTGGAACACGAACAAAAAACACATAGTTGTGATTGATGCATTACGCAGAAAACAGTTATATTGATAAAATGGTAAAAGTGTTGGATTAGTGAGTTTGGTTCCTTTCGGCAATATAATTTAAAGAACAAAGATAATTTGCAGAGATTAGTTGCTTGAATAAGTGGCATTCCTTCTAAGGAACATGACAGCAATTGAACAACTCAAAACTATTAAATCAAAGATTTTCCATTCTTTTACCATACAAAAATAAAAAAGGAAAATATTGAGAAAGCCTACCAATCACTCAGTTCAAGTTTACAACATAATGTCATCATATTTTGTCTTTTCTATCCTACTACCTACCAAGCAGCCGACAAAAATTATTCCATCATTGCATTTGCATCAGCAGGTACATCGGATTTTCTTTTGTTCTTCCCTGAATGCCACAACAAACACAAATTAAAAGTTCATTCCAGAAAATATTTTGTAAACAATTCAATGGTTCTTCATAAAATGACATTCCACGACAAAACATTCAAAAAAATGGGAGGAATTTAAGTTAGTGAATTACCCTATGTGTCTAAATCCCAAAAAAAAAGTGCATGTACACCTAAATGAGTACATATATGTCTCCTAGTTCTACCTTGTTGTGGTTCTGTAGATAAAAGCCACTACAATCAGCCCTAAGCTTATTGAAGGATATATAGTCAAGTTATTTAGTATCCACATTTTACAGGGTAATATCAAGCTTGTTAAGTCGAAGACGGAAGGATTGGAATTAGGAAATAAGTTAGAAGTAAATATTTGGCTCGTATTGAAAGCTTAGATTACAACGACTCAAAGATCTAGGAGTGGTCCTATCTCCCTATCCAGCAAGAAGCTGAAATCCACTAACTGCTAATTTGCAACAATGTTGTGTAGGTAAAACAAAGTGGCGACAATGTTCAGGTTTGTCTATGAGTTGGTAGCATTTTATATGTTATCAATGTGGCATATAATGCAAAGATAAAAGGAGAACAGATCTGTTACAGAGATTAATTGAAAGGAGGTGATTGGGGTCAGATGCGATTGGCTATGGTGGTTGCTTAAAATTGCCACAAAAAAGAAACCAGTGAACAATCTTGAAAACTAATGTAAACAAAGATTTTATTTCAAATTGCGTGTTGTATTAAACTGTTATTAGTTAGCTATAGCTATCATCCAAATAATCATTGACAATGATCCTTGCTTTCTATCCAAAAATTCCTAGATTAATTGTTGGATTCAAAGCAAAAACATATTGTACATTCCAAGCATACCAATATCAACTGAGTCTTATCCCACTAATAAATTAAACATAATCACAAGTGTCAGTGCAGGTATCTGACACCAACACAGACACGCTTTTCTTTAAGAGGTTTCGGTACTACAGAGTGTACATGTACTCCCGATTTCTAGACATGAAAATTCATTCAGAAGATAATTCAAAACAGATTCACAAAATATTTACCTTTGCTGCGCTTGAGTTGTTTAAGTTTCAAACCCTTTTTCAAATGAAATTTTCCCGAAGACGAAGCAGCGCTATCTTTAGTTTCCCCTGTTCAAAAACCAAACAACATATAACGCTTAAACAAATCCATCAAACAGGCATTCAATCGTAGTACGAATCGCGAGTACCTTTTGCAACAGCCATTTGCACATCTTCCATGCTTACTATGCCACTCTCTAAGGCATCCTTTTGTTCCCGACGCCATTGTTTGAAGAGCTTGCGCTTGCGTTTGCCGGAAAGAGAAACGTTTTGTTTTCGGATCTTAAGCTTTCCGGTGGTTGGGTCGCCGTGAATTTGTCGCTTTTTCTCTGCAACAAGAGCTCTTCTTCTTTTCTGAACCACGTTGAACTTCGCCATCTTCTACTCCGCACAATCAAACCCTAATTGCAATCTCTCAACTCAAAAATCCTCTTTATATTGTTTATAAATGAATATAAAATGTAAATTAAATATATTTTTAATTCCAAACAAATTTTAATTGGAATTTTAAGTCTTAAAAAGTTAATGCAATTTGCAAAATAGAGTCTATTTTAATAAAAAAATTAATAATAATAAATTGAATATTAGTATGTCTCTTATAAAATAGGATTAGTAGGTCTTTTGTCATATTATATATAAGTGATTTTTGAATTTTTTTCCTATAAAAAAATTAGTTTCAACCTTCGATTTTACTGGTGATCAGAAAGAGGAGTGGTCGGTACAAACGTCATTTGATTCAAGCGTCTCACGGAGGGATAGGGGAGTTGTACTTGCAAAGCATTCTGATGTTGAAGTCAGGAAGAGTGGAGAGGTAAGTGAGAGAGTTAGAGATGTGAATGGAATATCTGACCCTCCAATAGAGGATAGTATTTATAAAGTCCCCAACACATGGCCAATGGTCTCCATTATGGGCAGAGGGTCTAGCCCCAAAATGGATGATTGTCAAGGTTCCTACGTGGAAGTAGGGATGAGCAGCATGTGTCCATCGCCCTGGTCAATCGTCCCGCCATTCTCGGGTCGTGGCCAGACTCGCCCGTTGCGTAGGGCAAGATGGTTATGCCACTCGCGGAATATGGGTGATTAGTTGATGACGTTTCCTCATGAGAGGGGCATGTGGAGAATGTGTCTTCAGGTTGGGTCCCAATGGATTGGACCATCATTTGGGTCGTCCACGATGCAGGGGTGAGTTAGATCGTGTCTGACATTGGGCCAACCATGAATCCAGTACAGAACAGGAGCCCCTAAGTTGTTGCTTCTAGACAGAGGAGTAATGATTTAGAGTCAATTCGAGTGTCGAGGAGGAACAATGGGCTCTGCATAAGGTGGGCCTTCATTTTTGCTTGCGATTGTGTGCTCGTGATTGTGTGTTTCTTATTTGTGAGCTAGTGCATATGAGGATGATATTTTGCCTGTGACTTGCACTGATTTTGTTTGCGAGGACGACATAGTATGCAGGGGTTGTGGTCGACAGTTTAGCTATTGCTCGCTTCGTATGCTTGGCTTTGCTCGCGAGTCACCACGTTGCCCGTAACTTTACTTTGAGGTTTCCTCCGAGGATGTGCCTACGATGGAATACAAAGGTTTTTCGTTTATGTCCGAGTAGGGATGCCTTACGTCTGGGGAGCCGGAACACCAGCGGAACTTGAAAAGACAGAGGATTCGTCCCTCGAGCCACGCGTCACAACATTTAATACGTGATAATGGCCTAGGCATAAGGGTTATTATGTCCTATGAGTAGGGGTGATCATGAGGTGAAACGGTGACACGTTATCCCAAACGGTATCAAGTTTCTCATGCAGAAATATTCTATAAATAGGGAGAGGGGAGGCATTTACAACTTTGCATTTCTCTACATTTCCCGGGTTTCAGAGCATTTTTCTTCTGCTATTGTTGTTGTTCAATCATTGTCCCCTCTCATTTTCTTCTCAAAATCAAGTAAGTATCTCTCAACGATCCTATATTTTTGTTGTTTGTTCTTGTTCTTTCGCGTTTTATATGTTTGCGTGTTTGCTCAGGAGGTGTTGGTGTTTGGCGGTGGTTTAACCATTCCCAAACGCCAACACCTGTGAGAAATGTTAGCATTTTGAGTAGGAAACTAGAATAGTGTGTGATTTCCACTCTGGCACCGCTGTTACGATGGTGAATAGGATGCGTGCTGGTGATATTCATGAGTTTCATAATGAAGTTCATGTGTCGGGGAGGTTCTTCCCCGTGAAGCTCATGATTTTTCGATGAATTTCGTCTGGTGGGGAGGTTCTTCCCCGCGAGATTCATGAATCTCCAATAAAATTCATGTGTTGGGGAGGCTTGTCCCTGCGAGATTCATGAGTCTCCAAAGAAGTTCATGTGGAGGCTTGTCCCCGCGAGACTCATGAGTCTCCAAAGATAAATTCCATGTGTCGAGGCATTTTCCCCCGGGAAATTCATGAGCTTTATTGGGGAGTTCTCCCTGCGGTTTTGTTGGTGGGTCAGTTGAGCCCTCATTCGAGGAGATGTCCACGTGACTTCCTTTCTCGCTTTTGCATAAGGGCATTGGTCTGGGAAGGCGTCCTTGCGTCTTCCTATGCCCTTTCACTTGATTTGTGGTAGAATTGTGGATTTGATTTGACCGTCAAATTTACTGTTTTCCTCTGCTTTTCAGGTTTGATGGCTCGTAGCAATGAATGCATTTGTCTAGTCGACACAATCAGTGATCCTGCACTGGATCGGGTCGAGCTGGAACCTCGAGGGATAGCCTCGCGCTTCACTGACTTCCCGAAGGAAGTGTTTGTTGTCGTTAAGGAAGGTACGGTCCGTGAAAGGGAAGAGAATTGATCGATCTACAAACCTAACCCGTGCGAATGGATTTGTTCGTCTTTCTCGAGGAATCGCTTTCCCATGTACGAGTTTGTTTTCAAAGAGCTAGGGTTCAGCTGGCGTTTAGCAATCTCCAGGTTGGCATTTTCAACCATTTGGAGTTAGTGTCCTCCTAATTGCATCCTAATTTGATCACGTTCATCCGTGCATTCGAGATAGTGTGCACGTATCTCGAGATTGGCATCGCCACTCCCTTATTCATCTGTTGTTTCCACCTTCAGCAACAGACTATAAATGGGAAGCATAGCTGAGTGTCTTATAAGCAGTCGAATAAGGTGTTTAAGATGTTTACGGACTTCGTCTGCTGTTTTAAGGACATGTATTAAAACATTATCTTTAGAACTTTGTTCAACAGAACCTTGTCTTCAGAATCTTCAGAGCTAGTTCTTTAGAACCTTAAAGCTTGAGAAATTCTCAGAAGCTCTTCCATCAAAGTCACAGCCAAAAGCTTTATACTAACGTTCATAAGAACCATTATTTAGAAGCATTCAGAATTTTACAATGTCTTGTAACACAAACTTTGTATCTATCTAGAGTCAGAGTGTGTTGATTTTAGAAACTGATGACGTCACACACCATTTTAGTGTGATTTTGCATAAGGTGCTTAGTTTTGCTAAACAATGTTATAAAGACAAGGTTCTGCTGAACAAAATTCGTAAGACAATATATGGGATCTTGTGTGCTAACTCAAAGAACTCATGTTATTGGAACTAAATGGATCTTTAGAACCCACCAACATATTACAACAATCCATTACCTCTAGAATCCACCAACATATTACAATTATCAACTTTAACTATAATAGTATAATTCAGTTTTACAACTACGGTTGGTATTAGTTTCAAATTATCTTAAGGAAAAGGCCAAAACATAGTGATACTATTAGATGAATGCCTTAAGAATAGAGCTTAAATTTGGGTATAGCTTTTTGAATCTCTTTATTTTTTAATGACCATATTTGCTGTGATTTAGGTTGCATACCCAATTGCAAGACAACGTTGCTTCAGCTGCTCTATCGAATATACTTAGAGATGAAATGAGCACCCAATGGTTAGACATGACGCTGCTGAAGCTCTTGGTTCAATTGCAGGTATTGCATTTAAAACCAAACATCATGGAATGATGTAATATCTTTTACTATCAATAATACATGGTGTTAAATAACTGCTATGCTTTGTGGGGTCCTCTATGTATAAAAAAATAATGCGAACTACCATGTAATGTAGATAGTGTAGTAGCAATCAAGGCAAGCATTCTTCTTGGTAATTAACTTAGGATGCAGCTTTTAGTATATATACATAGTGGCTTTGTTCCTAGGTGTGTGGTTTTGATTGGTAAAAACTCAAATGTAAACTCATTCTCTCGGTTTACAAATAAAAAAGTGGAGGTGTTGGAGAAGTGTGAATGGTGAAATACTCACCATGTAAACTCATGGAGAAGAAGTAGTATAACAGAAAATGAATTGCAATAACAGAAAAGAAATGTTGAAATCTTTCTTCATTGATAGAATTGATTACATGTGTGATTTATATACAAAGAGGATAAGCTCAATAACTATTGGGTGGAATTCTTGCTTAGTACTAAGCTGCCGTGGCAGAGATACAAAAACTCTACTAATCTACTTAATACAAATATGTATAATGAAGTATAAAATACAGGAACTATGCTAACAGCCCCCTTCAAGTTGGACTTTGGATGTTACAAAGCCCTAACTTGACCAATGTCTTTTGAGGGGCAGGTGAATGAAGTGGTTTAGTCAGTGTGATACGGTGGGAGAACTGACTTGAGGTTTTGCGTTTGTGTTCGCAAATGTTCGGTTTAGCAAGAGTCGCCACCGACTTTTTATTTTATCCTAAGGAAAGGTCAAAAAGCACAGGAAAGACCTTTGAGATGTTTTCTTGGGTTCGGGGAGTAGATTATAGAAAGGGAAGGTATTAACACCCTTTCTATCCATGGTTATCCATGGGCTCTTAGTTACTTGCTTAGATCACTTGCCTTTGCTTTTCAATTGTTTGAAATGGTGCTTTGTGTGTGGTTTTGAAAATGTTTTGAAAAAGATGCCTTGTCTAGGCAACCATTGTAACAATTCTTTACTCGAATGTTTTACAAAGGTGTTTGTCTTTTTGAAAAGATGTTTCAATGTTTTGAAAGTTATTTTGGAAATTGTGTTTGTGAAGTGTATTTGAAAATGGCAAGGATCGTTTTGCAAGATTGATCAAGTGACCAAGAGCTATCTACCCTAAATTTCTCAAAGATCTTTCTTATGTTTTAACCCTTTTATAAGTGTTGTTTCACCATTGTATTTGGTGAACAACCTTGTGTTAGGATGTAAACGGGACGGGCGCGGGTCATCGTATGGATCATGAATGCAATAGTGTCAAGTATTTTGGCAATTTTCTTGAGGGACTATGATCATTTTAGGCAACAAGATAGCGTCATCGAGGGACTATGATCATTTTGTTTGTTTTTTTTGTTTTGTTTTGCCAAAGTGCTTGACATGCAAACATGGCCCATTTTTGAAG